TTTAGGGTTTAGGGGTTGGGGTCTAGAGTTTAGGCCGGGGTTCTTTGCGGGTATAGTGCTTATGATGTTTGGATCTTTGGCGGTGTGCCAGTATTGATTTTTCGTTCGAGTGTTGCATGTGAATTTTGTTTTTGCAGAGCTGCCAGCTTTCGACAGGGCGCTGGGGTTCCTAGACCCTAAACCCTAAGCCCTTTTGCGTTCTGAGGATTCGGCTTGACGGAAGATTTGTGGACTGTGCTTTTCGCGTTTGAGGTTTTGCTGTCGAGCTTAAAGCAAGCCTGAAACCCTAAACGCCTAAACCCTAAACCCTAAACCCCTAACCCCTAAACCCGAAAACCTAAACCCCTTACCCCTGACCCCTAAACCGCTAAACCCTTAAAGTGCTGATCCCGGGTTCATCGGCTTGACGTCGGACCCTAAACCCCGAACTGAACCAATATCCGAAGCCCTGAATTCACCCTTAACCCCCATTAGCCCTAAACCTCAAACCCTATAATCCCTTAAACCCCAAACCCGGTTTAGGGTTTAGGGTTTAGGGGTTTAGGGTTTAGGGATCGGGCTTTAGGGCTTAGGCTTTAGGGTTTCCTTAAACCCCAACCCGGAACTCGAAATTTTTAAGCCCTAAACACAAATCCCAAACTCCGAAACCCTAAAACCCTTAAACCCTACACCCAAAAACTTATACAGTTGAGCACTTAATTCCTGTAGGCCCTAAAGTGAACCACAAAAGTTGGAAACCGGACTAAGGCAAATTAGTGCTGGGATTCCCTGTACATTAGTCTTACAGATTAAGGCTATTGGGTTTCCAACTTTCGGGCTTCTACCATAAACCCCAAAAATCCCCTGAGATCTAAACCCTACACCCTAAACCCTCAGCCCTAAGCCCTATAAACCCTAAGCCGGAAACCCCCTAAACCCATAGCCCTAAACCCTAAACCTTAATCTCAGGTCTATCAGTCGAAGGTGGTCTTCGAGCGTCAGCGTGCGGCCAAGGGGCCCAGCGCCGTAGAGCGCCAGGCGGCCTTTGCAGGGAGTCACTTGAGGTTCGGGGTTTGGGCTTTCAGGGCTTTAGGTTTAGAGTTTGAGGCTTTAGAGGTTTAGGGTCTGAGGTTTGGGGTTTCAGGGTTTCAGGTTTAGGGTTTGGTGGTTTAGAGGTTTAGGGTTTGAGGTTTGGGGTTTAGGTTTTTAAGGTTTACTCTTTGCTGTGATGCTTAGCATTTATAAATGCTGCGGTGGGGACTGAAGGATTCAGGATAGGTTTTTTCGGACTAGTGCTATAGTTTAGTTTGTAGTGATTCTGATTGAAGTAGCGATTATTCCGTAGTACTCAGATCCACTATATCAGGCCCAGGATGGGGTAAGGTTTGTGGTTTAGAGCTTTGGGTTTCGGGTTTAGGGCTTGGGTTCAGCACGGAAGCTGGAGGAGGTAAGGTTTAGGGTTTGGGTTTAGGGTTTAGGGTTTAGGGTTTAGGGTTTAGGGTTTAGGGTTTAGGGTTTAGGGTTTAGGGTTTAGGGTTTAGGGGCTTTGGATATGGCTGGACGATCTCTCATGGTTGTGGGACTTCACCTATCGGACCTATCGTCTCCATTGTAGTTCCTTTTTTGGGTTACGTTGCAGGATCCTAAACTTACTTAAAACTGGTTGAACCCCCCCCAATAGTAACACTTAATTAGGTTTTAACCATCTGGCACGTTCGGGGGTGCTTACATATGCTTCCCAATCTTGAGCTGCATGGCCGCTGTACCTTTCCTGCACAGATCCATACGAAGCACTCGCAACTTCCTGCTGAGCACTAGCTATGTAGAATCTCTTCCGTCTCTCCCCTGTTGTAATCTTTCAAGATTGTTATCCGCCGCTGCACTGTAGTTCCTTTCATGGGGTTTGGACGCGGCTTCTAGCGCCACTGGCGCGACAGGATCAGGGCTCGGAGAGGGGACACCTAAGAAACCCTAAACCCTGAACCGGGACAGGGTTTAGGGCCTAAGGGCTGAGAGTTCAAAGCGTGGTTCCGTCTAATTACAGGGTTTGGGGGTCTCGGGCTTTTGGGTTTAGGGTCGATTGTCTTTTGCCGGGCCTGCTTTGCTCGCTACATTGGGGGTCTCCCGCTGTTCCGGGGGAAAAAAATGTGTGTCGTTTTTCAGGGTTTGAGGGTTCAGGGTTAAAGAGCCATGAAACACTCCGAGAGGCCCGGGGCTTGGGGGGGGGGGGGGGGGGG